GTTCAGAAAACTGGATAGAAGCCCTTCTTTCCGTTCTTCCAATGTACTTGCTCCCGCAAGTGCACGTAAATTCATAAACGCAGTTGTAGGTGACATCTGCAGGGTATTTATCCAGTTTTGAGTGACTTATAGAAGAAGTGGTGCTGTATAATGTTATTAGTTTAGCTGCAGGGAAGCTTCTTTTTATTGCACCTTTCATTCTTTTGTGACACTACATCTCCTTTTAATGGGAGACAAATAAAAAACACTTTTTTCTTCTCTACAGTTGGGTGTTTTTCTTTCTTATCTTTTTCTCTGCTATACTTCTGTATAAATCCCTTAGGATATCCATTTTCTCTTAGGCATTTCTCGACGAAATCTAATTCTTCTTCAACCTTGTTTGGTGAACATAGCTAAACTTAAACTAAAAATTGTAGTGATTTCATTTTAGATGCATATCTCTTCTCTACTACCACTCAAAAATTAAAGTATTTCAATTATCATCTATATAACCTTTGTAATTTCACGTAGTTTGCAGCTGATGAGAACCTGTAAAATAGAATATCATTTTATACTGCAAATTTCGTATTCCTTTCTTTATCGAAAAAGTAATTATCCCGGTGTTCGAACCCCAGACCACATGCGTGACTGGCGAGTATTCTACCACCGAACTACCAATACATGTGAAAAATTACTTACTGGTATTTAGCGTTAAATACAAAGTATACTATTTTTCCTGGCCATCAGAAGTCATCGACACTGATGTTTTCTATACTGCAGTATAATAAAAATAAACAAGACTAGAGGTGTCTTGTAACAGTGAAAATCTGTTAACTCTAAAGAACCAAATCCTGCGCTCTGTCTATCTCTCATTTATTGTATTCTACCACCGAATAAATGATTTAATAAGATTTGAACGGCAGTCACCTTGCATATAACTTTTATGCTAGCTGAATGAGTTTTTTGATGGACACCAGAAGAATCCAGCAGGTATGCTTTGTACCTTTCAGAGTTCGTTAGTTGGATGAAACCGATAAATTAAAAAAAGGAGAGTTGCCTGTATTCCTAAAGTCAACTTTCTCCATTCTTATAATTATTGTAATCATAAAACCCATTAAAGACTAATTACTTACTTGCTTAAGCATTATTATGCGCTATTTATTTTTTATTTGTGCCTGAAGAATTTAAATATTTATTTCAAGGACAGGAACGTCATACATATATCCGACAATTTGTAAAATAATACATTGCACTAATATAACAATCAGCTTGTCTAAAGAAGTAAGTCTATTTTGCACAGCTGATAAGTAGCGCTTCATTGATACGCCAATAATCGACTATTGCAGAGAATTAAAATTAAAATTTCCACTTGAAAGTTTGTAATTACAAACAGGATGTACAAACAATTTAACAATTACTTGTAACAATCTATGCTAGGTAGTATGAAAATCTTTGTAAAACAAAACAACAACAACAATAAAGTCAATTGGTTTTGCTTTTTTTTATTCTAAGTGCGTTTTAATTTATAGTTGCTTTTTTTTAACAAGCTAACAGCAGAATTACGACAGTGGACACTTAAAAACACTTTGAATGTTTGCAAATTTCCTTTCTTAAGACAACTGTTAAGATAATATATATACTGTTAGAAGATGGAGTATCTTGTCAATTATCGGCGAAATAATTCTCATACTATCAGAATGACTATCTACATAATATTTAAATGTGACACGATTATTTGGGGTAAAGAATTTAATTACCATCCAAATGAAGTAGATACTACTTTGGTTGTTTTTTTTTTTTGTTATAATGACATTACACAACTTGTTCTTTGTAAGTGATTATGATTTACTTAAGTAACTCTTTTACCTTTTAATACTAAAATAAAAGCTAATTCGGTTAATGAGTATGTGTCAATCAAATTACACAAACAAATATCGTTGCAGTGTCTACAGCTCAAAAATTACCAGTGAAGGGTGATCAATGTCATGAAAACACAAAACTCATAACGACAGCTAGTAGAAATCAGTTTTGATGCTGAGAAAGTACACAGTGCTGGTCTTTTAGGCTCCCTTTGTGTCATACACATACACACACACACACACCTCAGTGCTTGTAGAAAAAACTTCAAGTCATCTTATTGGTACCGACATAAAAATAACACGAATGCATACTTTTCACTATGCACTGCATTCGCATAAAAATAAATAGCTTAGGCTAAACGTAGAAGAAGAATAAGGTATACTTTTTTAAACTTCAAAACACTTTTTAACTGGTGGATGGTGACTAGCAGTGGAATCCAGGATTCGCATTTCGTCATATTTGGGACTCGTAGTCAGCTGGATGTACCTGCATTTCTCAGTGAGTGATGATGTTCCCATCGAGGCTCGAACCCAGTGCCGATAATTTCAAACGCCAAAGCGTTATCCACTAGACCACTTAAGCCACGAGAGCTGGCCACCTCTTGTGCTACTGGTCATATTAATTTAAATGAATCTGAGGCCGAGCACTTCGGTCCAATCAATCGACGGGAAAATCAAAAATTCAGTTAAATTCAAAACACTTTTATGGTGAACTTAGCTCAGTGTTATTCAAAGAAGAATACATAATTGTCAATAGCTTCGTTGGCGGACTTCTATTCGTTTCTGAATATTTCAGTTCTTTGGTTATAAGTATTTTAAGTTTCCGAAAGGATTCGAAAACACCACTTAAATGTACTAAGAATACGATGAACATATACAGCCAGAGTTTAAGTAGTTCAAAGCTTTAAAGGTACGATAGAAAAGAAATTTCTATTCAGTAGTTTTGGTCTTTTGTCGATTTCTTAACAGCTAGAATGTTTGTACATTTTAATTTTTAAGCGGAATAGGTTTTCATTACCTTTCAATTTTTCCAACCTTCTGCTACATTACCCATACCTCATGAGATCTTATCTCTAATATATGATCAGAGCTCTAACATTCTATTCAGAGATGTATAAATTTACTGATGTACAGGTACGAAAGGGGCTTCTTTATGGAAAAGATAACTAATTATATTTTTCAGGGTATTATCATGAACTGACATCGAATAGAAAAAAAATTGGGAAATCTCGGTATGTTGGTGTTATAACTGCACTGGACAGCTGTTCCATCCTAGTTTTGGACTACTCAGCGGTACGCACCCGTCAGAGGGGTTCGAACCCAGGACCTTCTGGTTATCAAGCGAGCTAGCCCGTAGACCATTAAGCCATCGTGACCCGATCCAATCGCCAGACTACTGTGGTGAGAGCAGGCCGTGAGAAAATATGTACAAGGCTGATTCGACAACCAATCACAGCAGACTTAACGTGGCAAAATATGATTCGCAGATAGAGAACTCTATTTTTCGAGGAATCCCGAAACAACCAATCAGAAGCCTGCGTTAGTCTGCTTAACTTCTGATAAACAACCAATCAGATGACTGCGCTTGTCTACTTGCATAAGCTATAAAAATGTATGTGAAATATATATAAATACGTGTTGATTTTCATAATAAAACGATCTGTTGCCAGCCCTCGTCTTCTGTTGTTACACTATGAATTCCAATTTCTGTCAATTCACGATATAGAGCGACCACCAGCGCTTGTCATCGGCAAGTATTTGTCTTCACATCCAACCTGCTGCAGCCTACTGGTCAAGACTTCCCATTTGAATCCAGGTAACTTCCTACCTGAATAAGATCAGTCAGTGGTGAGCATCAGATTGACATTTAAGTGTTAGTTTGTAGGGATTTGATCGGTTTCAGGATTTCATCATCAACTGGCATAGGTTACTTTTGTCCGTATGACTAGAGAGAACATTTTCTCGTTGAAGTATTCAGTCGAACCTATCTATTGCCTTGTGTGCATCGGTGGCACAGCAGTTAGGACGCTCACCAACCATCCACATAGTCCGGAGTTCGAGCCCCGGCCACCAACGCACCCACTTACCTCGCTAACCCAGAAATAAAAGGGTGGTAAAGAGGAAAGGTTGGGCATCAGGCTAGCAACCCCATCTTGTAAAAATAATCACCACTGTCACAGAAACTTCAAGCCTCTAGCTTGTGAAGCCCGTATGTTCTACTGGGAACCTGAAGGAAAAATTATTATTATTATTTATTATCTATTGCCGAGTACTAGGCGAAAAAATCTAGGAGATTACTACTTATCCTATACTAATAATATTAATAACGAATTAGGTATAAATGAATGATGAATCTAGTCATCTCCTTACAAGAATGATTTGATTTTCCGGTATAAAATGAAACAAGGATTGAAAAGTGAACAACAAAACTATTTACTGCATCTTATTGAAATATATTAAACCAAGTAGTTCTTTGTGCGTCGGTGGTAGAGCGGTTAGGATGCTCGCCGACCATGCATATGGTCCGGGGTTCGATCCCCAGCCGACGCACTCCTTTACCTCACTGAGCCAGAAATAATACTGGTAAAGAGGAAAGGTTGGGCATGAGGCTAGCAACCCCATCCTATAAAAATTAAACACTGCTACAGAAACTTCAAGCCACTAGCTTGGAGCCCTATGTTCCACTGGGAACGTGAAGGAAAAATTATTATTATTTATTATAAGTAGTTCTTTATCTCACAGACGTACCATTATCTTTCAAACTCTCCTACATTTATACGATACCTGTCTGATTATTACAGATATATATATATATATATATATATATATATATATATAATGAAAATACTCTATAATTATCCTTCCCTAAGAGTGTGACGCATTTCCAACTGTAGCTATCATCACATCTACTAATCTCAACTTAATCACATCAACTATCTGATAAACTGAAAAAAAATTATTTGATACCTCATAGAAAAAAAAACAACGAATAGTTTACAATTGCATAGTTTGCAATCTGAGTTTTCTTTACTTGCCTACCAGAGATTATGAAACTATCACATGAATTAATTAGGCATTCACACAAGCCATTATATATTATTCCAATTACCCTACCTTTAAAGCATTATTATTCTTTCACTTTTGATTAATTTTTTTCCCTAGCCAACCTAGAGACGTTTGCTTAGAACTATTTCAAAGCAGTATACGCAGATCATTTGATGCACGCAACACAAATACCATGGAATTACGTATGTGTAAGTTTCTTTTGTTATTGTGATTTCTCTCTATATCAAGACAATAATCATTTTCGGTTAGATTAAACCAGAGAAGGTCGCTTATAAGATGATTAATTAAAATATCTTCTTATTACTCCTAAGACAAAGAAGTAGTTACATTATTTAATAGTTTAAGAAGTTTTGTTACTATCTGTGGAGTTTTCAGCATGTAGTACGATATTGCATCTGATTATCTTCAAGGGGCTGACAGTATTGACTTTCATGGATAGTACGAAGTATATACTAACACAAGATCTTATACCCACAACTTCTATAGTATTCGTTCCGCGTATATCGAAGGCAAAGCAAAACACAATTTTTGATCGTCCAGATTACAAGATATATTTCGGAACCAAATCGGAGAGTGAGATGATTGCTTAGCTGGCTAGAGATCGTGCACGAATGAACGTGACACGACGGAGTGCCAAATGGTACGGATGCTTGATTGGAAGCCTTCAGCTAAACAAGTTGACTCAAACACTGAGGATCAGCATCCAATGTTCAGTGATGAGTGCTGTGATCAATAATTTTTGGGGAATTATTTACCGCTACAATCTCTTCACATTCCATGATAATATGGAAAGTAGTGAACAGGGCGTTTACTTAGTAATAATGTCAACAGAAACCAGAATGTAAAATTAAAATTAAGCAGAAATAGCTATAACAATAATATTAATGGTAAAGAGAATAAAAGGGAACATTGACTTATTGTTTCGCAGTAAGTGAGTAGTTGCATATCTAACGCTGTTGACAACACAAAAAGTGTAGGTCGAATGAAGTATCGTAGTTTTTATAAGTAGTCATTCAAGCATAAAGTCTTTTATAATTTCTTGACATGATATAGAGAAATATAAAAAATACAGATATAAAATGCCAACAATAACACTCATCGAGAAAATGTAAATATATTTCAATCAGATTTTACAAAATCGAGCAGAAAGAGATGGTATTCTCTTGTGTAAGCTTTCACATAATGTACGGACTGTAATGAACTGAGACACTTCCTGTAAAGAACTTCTATTTCTCTTCCTCAAAACTTTCTCCAAAATAATTAGATAGTTATTGGTAATTTATTATCACAATAAACATAAATAATATCAGAAAATAAGTCCTCTGAAATGTGTACTTCACAAAACATTAAGGAGGACTACAATTCACTAGTTAATTTTTAAAAAACATGTGATTTCTCGAAATAGTTGTAATGTGATTTCAAGCTGGTTTGCCGAATCGAGTGTTCTGCTTTAAAAATGGTTGACCAACTAATCGATAATGCGCAATACGAATCTTTCTGTAGGTTCAAGTTCATCTGAATAATGAAAAGAAACTACAACAACAACTTAATCTTAATTTAAAAATGCCAGTTAGTATTTACAGATTAACTTATAGACTAAATTCGATGCTTAGAATGGACTGGGAGGAATGACGATGTTCTTTGTGCAGAAGCCTTTCACCTAAACATTATAACTAACAGATACTGGGTCTACTTGAGTTCCTAAATGTACGTAAAACACTGACAATGAGTGCCACACATCACCACTGATTTCTTAAGTTTCAGTTCATTATCCATGTGTTTAAAAATCTTCAACTCAAAAACCCCAATCATGCTGACCTGTTTAATTGTGGAGAAAGGTCATTCAAGTGCTTGCATAAACCTAATATTGCATGCTGAACACTTTCCATTTTGTAAAGATATCAAAATAAAGTAAGAGTTTTGTGAATGTATGACTCAATGAGTTAAGCAATACAATTTATTTACAAATCTCAAATATCAGTAAATCATTGTTATAGGTTGTTTTAAAAAATAACTAACACTTAAGAGACTCCGTAGTTAAAGATATCCCCTGTTTTACCCTTTAGTTTCTCACCATACTTCTTGTTTGCACATTTTCCTATTGTGTTTGGTTGGTGCTTCCTATATTTGAATGAATGCTGGGAACTTCACCTCATATATATACATATATCTTTTGGAATTTACAACATTCTGTTTAATTTCATCACAGATGTAGCAACAGATTTAACTCTCTCTCTGGCTTCAGCGACTCAGTGATTGACTTGTTATCAGGGTATAACGTCGCTGACTTAGAATATGCAGATGATATTGTCCTCTCTCCTAGGTGAATACGCTGACAAAAGAGAGTAGTATCTTCTGATCACCTTGAGCAACAGTCTTCGAATGTTTGGCATGCGATTTGCTCCTATCAAATGCAAGGGGAGAGCTGCGTAAAAAAAGATGCTCAGAGTCCAACAGGATGACATTTGTCAATTTCCTGCATGAGTTCAAGTGTTTTTCAACAACAATATTAACAAGTTGGTTTATCCGTATCCCGCCCACCCCACCGACAGGTTTTACTCCCTTTAGCAATGCGACAAAGTCTTCTTTAAGTAGTCCAGAAAAGAATAAGGGGGTGACAATATGAAAGAGCCGGTAGAATACAAAAATTAACAAACTGTAAAATTAGAGACTGAGAGATATCAGGCTGTCTTAACTTTCTTTTCGTAAAAGGTTAGATGAAATATCTTTCTGAAAATAAACATGATGTAAGAAGACCAGGAAAGGTCAAAAGATAGACATAATCTAAGGTGTTTAACAATCGACTTAGTTTCAACTTGGTGCATACATTCACTTCATCATATAGTACGGAGTAACAGAAAATTAGATAACAGAAAAGAAAGGCAAATAATACTCCAGGAGTAGATATTTGGTTTCATGCTACTAGTAGGAAGACATGTGTGAAAATATTCTACTAAAGTTTTTTTTGAGGGAATTTAATCCTTGAGGTGACAAGTCTTAATCAAGCCCAAAGTTTAGTCAGAGAATAAATTACTTCAAGTTTAACCCAGGAGGGTACAGAAGAATTTCTTTCAAGAGCCTGAATGATAAAAGAGACAGCTTTACGCGGTTTAGTAAATTAGGGAGTAAATCATGAGAGTGAACAAAGATCTAAAAGGATACATCATAAATTTTCATAACTTCCATGGTATAATGAATGATAAATTAACTAATTATTTGGCTTTAAATTAGCATATTCTGACTAATACACTCTCCCAAAATGTAGCTGGGGCATTTTACTATCACTGTAATGATTAAACAAGCACCACATGTTGACAACTGCACCGGTGAATGGTGCACTAGACTTAGAAGAAATTTAACTTAAACATTGAGGAAATAACGAAAAGGGAATAACACAAACTATTCTCTCCAGCGTAATACACGCAAATATTTTACCTTCATGGTTCTCTAGTAAAATTTTTGAATACAGAAAAATACTAGCTCAAATGGAATCCTAAAGAAAATGGCCACAATATTTTTTTTCACTATTCAAGGAGTACAGCATGTTTATAAATAAGCCTGTAGAATTTCTTTAATTTTAACTTCAAACTCATCATATCTCATTAATTCTCTGTCTCTCCAATACATTTTTCAAGCTCAAAGTAAGAAATATGGATCGCATGTACGGACATTGTGTAATTTCGAATCTCAGTCATTTAGTGTAAACAGCAAAATACCACAATCAACAACACCGCTTATTCTAGTTCGAAATCTTGAACCATACGGTAAGTCTGATAGATTCATAATTGCATACACTGCGTTTTCCTTGAGTTCCTAGAGGAGCATAGGGCTTCAGCCGCACGTCTCCATTGCGTTCGGTTCTCTGCCAACCTTTTCACCTGGCTCCTGGCACGTCTGCCCACATGCCTTTATCTCCTCCATGTCAATCCACCGTCGCACTGATGACTAACTCGCCGCTTCCCGTTCGCGTTCCACTAGGGCTATTGCCTGTCTTGTGATGTCACTCACTTGATGGTTTGTTTTCTCAGAGTATGAACTATCCACCTCCATTTTTTCCTGCATATTTGTTGCACAGTTGCTTCCCATTGGGTTGGTTCTCTCGCTACCAGAGATCCCTAACCGGCCATCTGATCTTGGGTAGTACTGAGCGAAGACAGATGTCGATGAAGATCTGCAGTTTGTTTGTGGTGCTTTTCATGACGCGCCAAGTCTCTGATCCATAAAGTAGCACTGAATTCACATTGGAGTTGAAAATCCGGATCTTATTTTCATTTTCATCCTGAGTGCTGTTCATCTCCACACAGACTTGAGAGTAATGAAAGCTTGCCTTGCTTTCTCGATCCTCGCTGCTTTGATATCCTCGTCAGTTCCGCCTATAGTTGAAACGATGCTTTGCAGGTCGGTAGGTGAAGAAGGTTGCTTCTTTCAGATTTCTCCCATTTATGCTGACTGTTGTTGCTGTTCCTGTTGGCCAGGAATCTTCATCACCTCTCTTTTCTGTATGCTCATCTGCCTACACTGGGCCTATTTGTTATTTCAGTCAGATAAGAGATCTACTTGGTCACAGTACAAATATTATACTTTTCCTTAAAATTGTTGATAATGCAGTCTCTTATATCTCTTTCATTTTTATTTTTTGTCATGCAAAATTCTAACTTAATTGTGAGTGTCAAGAGAATCTGAGAAGTTCGCTATCAAAAGTAAACATAAACTTTGATAATATATCTTTTAACAGTGCAAAAGAACTTGTCTTAAGTTTTGAGTGTAACTTGACCAGTTCTTCATGAAAGGATAATTACATAAAGCCGGAAAATTTTCGATGAAGGTATAGAAATGTATTAATATTATAAATTGATACAGGATTTTCATGACAACTCTTTAAACCTTTCCCGTATTTATTGGAAAAACTAATGACCTTGTAGGAGAGAGAACATGGAGTTGAGTGTTCACACCGTCAAATATTACTAAAATCAGAGAAAACAGCTATTCCAGAATCACTGTCCTTATTACTTTCGTAAGCGATAATCACTTATGACTTAATTTTACTGAATTATACACACACAGGCAGAGCAGTCAAAGTTTAGAAGTTTGCTGTACACATTAACGATTAATGTAATCCATGATATTATTATTATTCAAGTAAAATTTATAGGACAGAAATTTGTTATAGGAAGACTATCTACTGGGGTTATTGTCTTCAGTAAACAAATGCACTTTGTAGTAAGGTGGAATTTCGGATATTGAACAAGATAAACTTAGTCTGAGGCTTAAATAGAAAAGAATGGTTATTGAACAAAGAATACTCTTTTCGATAACTTCATCATCAGGCTTTACAGTTATATATACATTATAGTAATTGAATGAATGATTTAATGTTGTTTAAATAACATCGAATCAATAATACTGATAGATTACAGCTCAATAGCATCAACATAACAATAAATTGAATGTCAGAAAAAATAGGAAAGATAATAGTACAAATTCATGAATTTATAGTCTCTACTGAAAGCCGCCCAGGGCAGTAGTGGCTGGCTGGACTTACTCCTTTTGAACACAGAGTGCTGGTTGTTTGAGGCGAATCGCAATAGCCTCTGCTGTTTGGAGCCTGCGGTGCTTCGATGTTTTTGGCAGTTTATTAAGCACACGGTAGATGATAGAGAAGGATTCTTCCACGCTGGCTTTGTGGCCGGTTGGCACCAGATGCTCCAATATCGAACTGTCAGTGGTTTTCACTACACCTTTACGTAACCATACTGGGAGATGTTCTCAAGAGAGCAGAAAAAATCAAGTCCCTAGAGCAACGACCGATATAACTCGCTCCACCACAAGCGCAGTTGAATTGGTAGATACAATTTGAAGTAGCTAGTCTAGGTACTACATCTTTTAGTCGAGGGATCATCATCGATCGTGTCAAATCCAGTATCAGTATCTAAGTGAATAACTCGTTTCGGTCTATCACAAAATCAAAGAACAAGTGAATGTACTTCAAGTTGCACATTATTTAATCCAACACTACTATAATTGTAGACGTACTTTTTAGGATCTGCTGGAAATTTACCAGCCTCTAGCTTCCATTCAAGTTCTTTCATAAGTTGTATCTGCTTCTTCTGTGCTTTTCGTTCACTAACTTGAGAAACGTATTGTATAAAAAGGCGTTCTAAGATCTTCTGGCAGTTCATCTACCGCATACTGCCTGTGAGCAATATTCATTTCATTATCATGTATGTATGTATGTAGATAAAGAGTCTGTTTGGTTTAATGCATATCGTTTCAGTTTCTTATTGGGATGAACTCTGTTTCGACGTAGAGACTTATAATAAACTTTTGGATAGTAATTTGATTCGATTCAATTGTTAATGAAGTCCAACGTAGCCTTTGTATGATGGAGGCTGGCATTATACTTCAGGTACTAGATGAGAATCTTCAATGCTACAGGCGACTCACAACATTCTAACTGATTAAAAATGCCCATTAAAATTTTTGCTTAAATTGAAATTAAGTACTACCTGAAACCATGGAACCGTTAAATTGTATCCTTCGTTCTCATTAAGAACAATAAAATCCTAATGATACTCGCCTATTCCTTTTTGCTACATTTCAGAAATGTTAAATCCATACAGTGATCCTCCAATTAAATGTGGCCTTTACCAAATACGACTTGTTGGAACAATGAATATAAATACTGATTATTTATCAGACAGATCAAATTCACTGAGTGTCATTTCTCTACCTGGAAGACTTTACGAACTCCCTGAGATGGTCAATACTTCTCAGTCAATCAATGCAAATTATTACAAAAAATTTGAACCTACAAATTTCAAATATTCAGGCTCTTATAACCAGCCACAAAAGTCATCATTTGACGATTCAAGTAGAAGACTAGATATAATAAAATCTCAAAATACGATTCATAGAAGAATGGTAAAGAATTCAATATCCTGTCGTGTTGAAATAAGTGATTTTAATTTGACTTATGGTTTAACAGGAGAATTCGGGAATAAAATTTGGATACATAGTGATTGTTTAAATCATCAGATTAAGAGCTCTTTTAATGCAAGTAAGCGGCTTATTTAAAAAAACTATAATTTTGTTTTAAATTCCTTCACGTTCCCACTGGAACATAGGGCTTCACAAACTAAAGGCTTTAAGTTTCTGTGGCAGTGGTGATTATCTTTACAGGATGGGGTTGCTGGCCTCATGCTCAACCATTCCTCTTCACCAGCTTTTTATTCCTGGCTTAGCCAGGTAAGTCGGTGCGTTGGTGGCCAGGGATCTAACCCCGAAGTATGTGGATGGTTGGTGAGCGTCCTAACCGCTGTGCCACCGACACACACTAAACTATAATTAACTTCACTTGTACTAAACAGCATCTGTAATTAGTAGTGTTCTTTGAGCTGGTTGGTTTAGTTGCAGAGCTTTCTTCGTCCTTCTGGATAATATCTTCAGTGCAATTTTTAGCCCTTTATGCTAAAAAAGTATCAAATGGATTTTCAGCATTGACTGCCTGAAAGATGAGCTCTTATTTTTCAAATCTATCTTGGCTCAAAATGGACACTCGGCGCGTTTCGCGGGGAACATGAAACCAAAGGCAAAAAGAGAAGAATGAAGTTCAGTGACAAAGAAAACACTCTATTTGAGTCTAGACTTCAGGGAAGAGTTAGCTGCAGATATCCTTAAGAGGAGAATCTCAGTTTTCCCAAAGAAGACCTTTCCTGCAACAACTCTAAGAGTGATATTCTCTAGCCGCTCACTGCTTCTAAGCAATGTAAAGGACAAACTTCCACATATGACAACTCCAATGTATATTTATCAGTTTAACTGATCATGCGGACCTAGGTAAATCGGTCGTTTTATGCAGGTCCTTTCAAAACTTGTTAGAGAACATCACCCACCGTGAATGCAAAGAGGAGGCACTGGTTCAATCAGAAGCGCCATAATTCGATACCACATTAACACCTGTCACAGCATTTCAACTGATTAATCATTGAGAATCATTCATATAGTAACACTCAATCTGCCAAAGGCAGTGTGTTTCTGACTTCTTCATACTCTAGAAGCCCTAGCCACATGCATTAAAACCAGAATTATGTATTCAAAAGAAGCTAATCCAACCTCTACATTTACCATGGATCTAGTTCGGTTTGACTCATTAGCTTTTACCTTTTATTTACATTCCAGTTATCAAAAAGAACTATAATTTCATTTTGTTTCCATGCCTGTCCCGTTCATACCTGCATTCGTTATGAAAACCACTTTACGTATATCGCAACTATTCTCTAATCCTTTGTAATTTTGCTCCTAAACCCCTTGTAATTTATATTCATACTTTGGGATTTTCATATCAACTCTTATCTCCCACGTTATTATTAGGTGGAATTAAATAATAATTTTATCCATGTAAACTTGTGTATATAAAAACAACTCTACAACTTTTGAGAATGAAATCGCCGAAAAATATCTTTGCTCAACCAGTTGTTGAGATGGAGGTCATCGATAGCTGATGATAAGGAGTTGTTTTCTAGGCTAGCCATAAAGCAGTCAACCAGGAGGGTTCCTAGGGGAGAACTCATTGTTACTACATCTACTTGCTTGTATACTTCGTTGTTGTAACTAAAGCATACGTTGAAGGTGCATTGTAATAACGTGTACTTTAGTTTCAACAACGAAGTAGATGGAGTGGCAATAGGTTCTCCCCATATGACCCCTCCTGACTGACTGCTTTGTGACTAGCCTAGAGAACTAATTGTTCTTTCCTCTCTAACTTCTCTGTAAAACAAATTTTAGAGCAATTAGCCTCAAGATGTTATGCATCATCAGTGCTAAGATTTAGTACTTCTGAGATATGCATTGCCGAAATTTGAAGGAGAGGTAACAATACCATTGTATTATAAAATGGATGGATTCGTTGTAATATACCTAAAATTCCATAAAAATGATTCGACTCACTGGTATATTCAATAGAACTCGAGCTTAGGTTACCTGAAAACCCATCATCATGTACAAATGACACATACACTCTTGAAATATCAATGTAATCACTTGATACAGATTTAATAATCAGGTTTCCACAATTCTTATCGACTAATTACACACTTGTTCACATTTGCAGTTAACCGTTTCTACTAAAGGTACATTAATGAATTAAGCAGTAATATAGAATAGGTGAATAATTACTAAAGTGTCAAGGTGAACTTTCGAACTTTTCTTTAACAATAATTAAATTAAATTTTTAATAACCTACAGTCAGACTCACTGATTGATGAATGGACAGTTCACTTTTATCATTTAAATGCATAATTTGAATAAACAGTTATTTCTGAACTAAGTATAAAACTTGAGCACTGGAGTAGAGTGTAACTCCATTACAGATAAGATTTTATTTTGATAAATCACACAGTGTTTTACAGTAGTATTAACTGACGAACACGTTTCGAGCACAAACTTTTGCCACTTATAATCATATCAAGTCACTCACTCCCACAACTTTTTTCCTTCATTTATATACATCAGTGGAATTGATGATTAGACATTTGAATAAAAAATCAATATGGGATTATGTACATTCGGGACTAATAATATGAGTGTTATTGATCAAATACAATTAGATAGGAAATAAGACGAGTGCTTTTGTAGTCAAAATAAGTAAAAAAAATTGATATGATTATGAACAATAAATTGTGTTCGAAACGTCATCCAGTATACAATACTGTTTCACTGTGTGATACATTTAATAATCAAACTAATATGGAAAATAAGTAACCTGTTAGAATATTGCGATGTACTTGAATGGAAATTGAATTTTAAGATTATTTATTGTCCCCCTGTGATTTAACAGGTGGTAATAATATTTTTCCATATCTCTGTTATTTCCATTGAGTCATTACTGTTGCATGTATTGGGTGTAGACTCAATGAATCAGGATTCAGTAATCAATCTCTCTCTTCACCTACTTATATTACTTCTTAGAATTTTAACTCTCTCCCACCCTATTGTGTGGTTGTGTGTTAATGCATGTAGTGTAATCGCTGAGCTTTTTTCTAAATTACTTATCTTCTCGGGTTAAACATTCTTACTTTGCCTAAATTCTTATGTGCCGACTACCCCGCACCTACTAATCTGACTTTTGTAGTTCACCTAACTCAGAGTCATTGCAACGTATTTCGTAATTAATTAAACAAAATAATAATAAACTTCTATTTCAATTCAAGCACATCGCAGCATTCTAATAAGTTACTTAATTTGACTATAAAAACACTCGCCTTATTTCCCATCTGATTGTATTTGATCAATAACACTCATATTTTTATTTCTGAATGTACTTCATCTTACATTGATTTTTATTCAAATGTCTAATCCACAATTCCATTCATGTATATAAATGAAGCAAAAAGTTGTGTGAGTAACTTGATATGATTATGGGTGTCAATAGTTTGTACTCGAAACGTCGTCATCAGTTAATATTACTGTAAAACACTGTGTGATTTATCAAAATAAAATCATTTCTATAATGGAGTATTTTTGATAGAGTGAACTTTTAATCAATCGATTAATTTCTGGTTATTGTTGTTACTGATTTTCTTTCTCTTCATTCCCTAGGTCATGTTTGCTTGTCTGTTTACAATATCTTTCCCGTGGAACTGAACGAAAGAAGAAGGCAACTGATTCTGATAACCTATCATGTTGCAACGAAGACATATTTTTGCTGGGTAACTTTTCGATATTATACAGTTACACTAATATAAATTTTAAAAAATACTTCTTTTAGATATTTAAAGAAATAAATCGAGATAGTATTCCAGGTTATTTGGTCTATCTATTCGATACACCACAGTGCCAATATCATAGACTTCCTTCAGGTGATATACAGATTAATGAGGAGAATGCACTCGCCCAGATCAGTTTGACATCAGGTAAACAAAATACCAGAAGATTTTGCAACATATTTACTTAACTTATTACCCAATATTCTGAATTGGCTTTAGAATTAATTATTTACTTTACATATAGCTTTCATTCTTGTTTGAGAACAGATTATGATCCAATAGAATCCAATGAACACTAGAACAAGCAGTTTGTTCTATATGAGGACTTTTAAATAATATATATATATATATATATATATATATATATATATATATATATATAATCTTAGTTTTTATTCACTTGAGAAGGCAAAATATTGTTCAGAATTCTGAAATCGTATACAGACATACATGTATATGTTGACCAGGTTGTGAATTAAATTCAGAAAGATTAGAACGCTACAAAGTCAGTACCGTTTGCAAGTTCCACAAGTATCAAGTATCTTTCAGATTTTGAAGGTTGTTCACAATTTATCATATATATATGTTTATATACACAGAATATTCTACAATAGTAGTCATTACCAATATTAGTGTTTTTTAAATAATATCGATTTGTAAGGTAAGATCAATGGAATTACAGTTCATTAAAGATATAGTAGCAAATAGAATACCAACTGAAATTAGGGAAATTTCTACAAAAATTGAGGATCATTCAAACCTAGGTGGCCAAGGTAAGGATAATGTCTGAACCAGCTTCTTCTGGACGCACAAATTAGGCTTGTTAATATGGATCCCAGCAGCCAGTGTCAGCAATATTTAGTAATCTCCCAGCTTATCTCCAGACAAAAGTATTTTTGATATAAGTATATTACTTGGGCACTGGTAGTGTATAACTCCATTAAGGATAAGATTTTATTTAAATAAACCACACAGTACTGTACAGTAATATTTACTGACGATGTTTCTAGCACAAATTATTGTATTGTATATTGTATTATTATATGATTATGAGTGTCAAACGGCATCAGTTAATATCACTGTACAACACTGTGTGATTTATCAAAATAAAATCTTATCCATAAAAGTACTTTCGCCCTAATACTTCAAGTCTACAACACTTTACGAAGCGATAATTAAGAGTGAGATATGTAGAAAATAGTTAAATTAATAATTAAAATTAAAACAGTCACTTATTTATAGACGTCTAGAATTTCAGTGTGAATAATGACTATTAAGTGACATTACTAGACAGGCCCTCGCGTATAACCCGAACGGGAAGTGGCGAGTTGGTCGTCAAAGGATGACTTGGAGGAGGTCATGTGAAGAGGAGATGAAAGCATGTGGGCAGACTTGGAGCCAGGTGAAAAGGCTTGCGGAGAACTGAATGCAATGGAGACGTGGGGCTGAAGCCCTATCTTCTTCTAGGAATTAAACGAAACAATAATAATAATAATGACTATTAATAGTGTATTATTATTCTTCGTTGTCGTTTTCCGGTGCTAATTTGGTGGACAAGGCATAATCTTCTGCTGGTAAGATTTTTCAATTATGAAGACTTTTAGCTCACATGGAGGTGTTCTTTGTCTCGGCTGCTTTGATTGTGAAGTTTTCAATTGAATCCTTATATATATATGTTATATATTAGACGAGTTAAAAACAAACCGATTCCTACAGTTGGTGTGATCACGGGCAGTCATTTTGCTCGAAATGTTACCAAAACCAAAAACTTATGATTGTGTGTAAACTATTGTAATATAATTATAATTTATTAGAGTAGATCTATAAATAAGGATCCATTCGGAAATTAAGTAATTCTTCGCTGAATCTTTTTGCCTTCTAAATGTCTAAATGGAGACTTTTTACTATATATGTGAATTTCTAACTATCCTTCTGTGCAACAACCTCAGCGCTGATTTCAGTTAGTTACACTTAAAGCTTCACAACCGTTCAACTCAAAAACACGCAGTACAGCCAAAAATGAAGAACTATCAGTTAGTATATATGACATCATAACAAGTGTTTACAACACTATTCCCAATTTACAGCTTTCCTACTATTCGAATTCATTCAACAGATATATTTATTCATTCAGTTGTATACCTAAAAAGTGGCTATCGGTAGTTTGGGAAATTTCACCATCCCCCTAAATTAACTGCATAACGCAACCTCTGGCTGAGTTAGCCTCTCTATCCGAATTCCAGATCAGTTTAATAAAATTAATCGTTAAGTTTAGTAAAAACAAGTGTCCCCCTAATGCTGAGGTAGAACAATTTCCAATACATAAGTATTGGAAGAGATGAAAGCATGTGGGCAGACGTGCCAGGAGCCAGGTGAAAACGTTGGCAAAGAACTGAACGTAATGGAGACATGCGGCTGAGGCCCTATGCTTTTCTAGGAACTAAAGGAAGCAATAATAATATAACAGTGGGCATTTAAATGATCACATCCCCCTTGTCTTCTGAATACAGTGCACAGTGCTACATAAATCTTGCATTTGTAATTGGACGGTGGTTTACACATCCATTATCTAAATTTATCTATTTTAACCTGGTTAAGATATATATTAACAAGTGCTTACAACATCCTTTTAGCCGTTTACAATAAACTACTGAATATTTTCAGGAAAAAAATGAAGTACTCTGAACAGTCTGAACCTCGGGAAAATCCATAAACTTCAAGAAAGTATTCACCCAGAAAAGACATCAATTAAAGGACTAATGCAAATCAAAAGATAATGTTAAACTGTCTATTTCTAATTTAAAACTGCTTAGAAGGGTTCATCAGTTCCCCATCCCACCACCGGCAAGCATGACTAATCTCAACATTTCATATACAGCAGCAATAACGTTATCAACCAAACACTGAGTGTCAGTTAAATTCTCAGTATAGAGGCGACTCGCACCCAAGGTGTTTTCACATATGGTGTAGTGAGTTCACATTGTCGAAAAATTGTAAACTACGGTGAAACAGTTGTTCAATGCCGCTTAAATCTCAATATTTGACTGGTGACTGCCGAGGGTTGTTTTCAGAGATACATTTTCCATGGGAATTCTACAAGCTTAGACAAGTACGTAAACATAGCACAGTAGACTTCAATTTACACTTTCCTGTTGATTGATTGAACCTGGATTTCACTGTTAGTCACCATCAACCTACTTACTTCAGAGTGAAAAAAGTGTTTAGCAGTTAAAACTGTTTCCAAACTATTAATGACTGAACACATGCAAAGGGCAATCTTGATAAATAATTAACCGATTAAAAATGCCCATTAAAATTTTCAAACGAATGGATACTGAACAAAGAGTACTCTTTTCGATAACCTCTTCATCATCAGGCTCTACATTTATACATACATTATAGTGAATGAACGAGTTAGTGTTATAAACGACATTAATGTTTAAGTAACATCAAATCAATAATATTGATAAATTACACCTGAATCGCATCAACATAGAATAAGCTGAATGTCAGAAACATTAAGAAAGATAATAGTACAAATTCATGAGTTTATAGTTTCTACTGAAGGCCACGGCAACAGTAGGGGTTGGACTTGCTTCTTTTGAACACAGAGTGCTGGTTGTTTGAGGCGAATCGCAATAGCCTCTGCTGTTTGGAGCCTGCGGTGCTTCGATGTTTGTGGTAATTTATTTGGCACTCGGTAGATTATAGAGAAGGTTTCATCTACGCTGGCTTTGTGTCCTGTTTGCACCAGATGGTCCAATATCGAGCTGTTAATAGTTTTCACTACACCTTTACTTAGCCATACTGGGAGATGTTCTCGAGAGAGCAGAAAAAATCAAGTCCCTAGAGCAACGACCCATATAACTTGCTCCACAAGCACAGTTGAATTGGTAGATACAATTTGAAGTAGCCAGTTAGTCTAAGTACTTCATCCTTCAGTCGAGGAATCACCATCGGTCGTGTACAGAATAAGACGTGTAGTTCGCCAGCAGTAAAAGTTCTTTGAACTGATTTTTCTTAATTTCTTCGCAACTATCTCGCTTGGTATATCGTCCATGAATTGTAGTCGTATTTAAAAAGGCTTCTTTTTTACAGATAGTGAGTGCTCCTTTTCCTTTTTCTTTGCCATATGTCTCTTGATAGATTTTTCGGGATAGCCATTTTCGATCAAAGTATCATATACAATGCTTAATTCATCTTCAATTACTTCTTTTGCGAATATAGCTCTAACTCTGTGGCTGAGGGTCTTCACTAAATTTCTTTTATACTTGATGGGAACGAAGCTGTGAAAATATGTATATTGTCCTGTCCAAGTGCTTTTTCTATGCAAATTTCTTTGTATGCTACCATCTGTTTTTCTGGTAAGTAGGACATCAAGGAAGGCAATTCTGTCTTGGGATTCCTCTTCGCATGTGAATTTCATAGCCGAATGTACTTCAATGAATTCAGTGATTATTGTACTCTTATCAGTACCATTATCACAAAGAATAAAGGTATCATCCATATATCGACAATAAAATGAGAACTTAATGATAAGGTTGTTCAGAGGTCCATTTTCTAGCTTACTTAGAAAGAAATCAACCAGAATGGGACCCAATGGGGAGCCCATCGCCACCCCATCAACTTGTCTGTAAATCATGTCGTTAAATTTGAAATTTATATTCATGGTACATCTTAATATCAATTCTTTTAGGATCTCAGTATGTATACCAATGTTTATCGACAGCTTGTCTACTTGTTCACCTATGTAATTAACTGTTTCTATTAAAGGTACATTTGTGAATAATGATGTCATGTCCAGAGGTATCATGGTTTTGTCCTTGATATTAATATCTTTTATTTTGTCTACGAATTCAAATACATCTTTGACGCTATATTTCACTATCTTCTCATGCAAAGGTTTGACAGTATTTACTAACCATCTAGCTAGAGCATGGTAGGGCGAATTTTGCATATCGAGTATTGGTCTTAATGGTACCCCTGGTTTATGCACTCTAGGTAGGCCATACAATCTTGGTGTATACGTGCCCGTTGGTCTGATTTCTTCATATAAACTTTCAGAAAATATCTGCTCCTCCCTTAGTTTCTTCAAACGTCTGGTTAATTCATTCTCTATTTTGTTATTGAAATCTTTCTTCTCCTCAAGTTTTTGAAACTTCTGTCGTTTATAACACTAACTCATTCATTCACTATAATGTATGTATAAATGTAGAGCCTGATGATGAAGAGGTTATCGAAAAGAGTACTCTTTGTTCAGTATCCATTCTTTTGAAAATAATTAACCACTAAGAATCTTAATTCAAGTCGTGTAAAATAACACACAGAAAAACAGAATTTCATCATAAGCTGACATTGGTTAGAAAAACAATTGGGAAACCTGGGAGTATTGGACAGCCGTTTCGTCTTAGTTCGGGACTCTTCATCAGTACGCACCCACCGGGGTTCGAATCCAGGACCTTATGGTTACAAGGCGAGCTCGTGAACCATTAAATCCTGTAACCAGTCAATCAAACCCCTACAAACCAACACTTGAACACCGAAAAACAGCCTAAGTTTTACCTTGAAACAATATTCAACGACTTGAATGTGTTTAGACTATTCAAGCTACTTCAAGTAATCCAGTCACAAGTACATCAAATATTTTGTTCTCAGGCACTTAGTTTACATTCGTTTATTTTCATTTTAGTATCCTGCAGTAAATGTGATCTGAATGCAGATAGAACACGGAAATACTCCGGTAAACTGGAATCACGAAAATCAAAAGTATTGCGTATTCCGACTAGTCAAATGAAACAACGTCAGACACAGCGTGCTTTACGACAAAGTACACAAACTGGCACGAAAAATTTATGTTGTAGAGGAGAAATACGCTTATTTCTAATTCTAATGCTCATAAGTCTTTCATTTTTATCAATTCTTTTGTAAATAAACTTATTCAAACTCATTTTGTACAATAAGAGATTATTTAATCCATTTGTAAATAATAAATACAATTCAATTCGTAAAAATGTGCTTTCCTCTGCTATAACAATTTACTAAGAACTCATAGTGTTCGCTACATTGATACAGTTTACGAAAGCATAAGTGAGAAGGTTTAAATAGATTTAAGTCTGTCAAATGGTTATGCGTTTTCACTCAAAAACATCCTGTAGATAGATTATTAGTGTAGTTAAAGCAACTTTTAATGGTGACAAAATACTAAGTTGAGCGAATTTATAAATGTATAGTAATAATACATTCTAACTTTGAAGATAACAACTGTTGAGTGGCCATTAATTTCTAAGGGTTCTATGGTAAATAACATTTCGGGATACCTATTTGAACAGTTTCAAACATGGTGGTATTAACCAATTCTAATGATATCTGCATTCCCAGTTAAGGATAGTACTGCTATACAATGTCATTGATGTAATCAAAATGATGGATTAGATATATCAGTCCTTTGGATTTTAAATCCAGCAAGTAAGGCATCAACAATTTGGCAGCCAGAGATGTTTATTTCCCAACACGGACTTAAAACAAGCAACAAACGTTAATGAAGAAGGATTTAGTGAATCCATTAAATTTCGGTACAGTTGGTCAGTTGAATACTTTACACAGTGTTATTTGTACTAGGAGAAATATAGTCAGATTCAAGTGTTGGTTTGTAGGGATTTGATTGATTACAGGATTTCCATCATGAGCTGACATTGGTTAGAGAACCATTGGAAAACCTGAAAGTAATGGACAGGTGTTTCGTCCTATTTTGGGACTCTTCATCAGTACGCACTCACCGGGATTCGAACCCAGGGGGTCGCGCTATGTCGTGAATTGGCAGAAGTTAGAATTCGTGGGCCATTAGATCGGGTCCTAGTGGCTTAATCGTATACGAGCTCGCCTTGTAACCAGAAGGTCGTGGGTTCGAATCCCGGTGGGTGCGTACTGCTGAATAGTCAGATTCAATTAGATAATAAACCACAAGAAACCAGTCGTAGCAAAACAAACGGTGAGAATGCTTTAATAATCAAATCCAGAAATATATAAAAGGAGAGAGGGTACCGGCAATCAAAAACCAAGACTGGAAAGGATTACAACTCGGTTAATTCACTGCAATAAACAGTTATCGGGGATAGAACATAGTAATACTAAGGAGTTGTATAACAAACAATAATAGTAATAATAATAATAATTAGTGCGGCGATTTCATCCAGAGGTTCGAAGATTTGTCTTTATGATGCAACTCGCTAAATATACTTTTAACCAAGATAATGACAATAATAAATTAAACGGAATGGCAATGAAACGAGTTAACGGTGTGAAAAATTCTACCGTGGCAGACTCAGTGTTCATAATCTGCTTTCGTACACAGCGGCCTGACTGACACACCCTAGTCGCACAAGCCTGTTCGACTGCCGGTGTTTTCGCCTGTTTGCTTACCGACAATGATAAATAAATTGACAGAGTAAATATGATGCTCGTAGTCCAAAAATGCATCGTTCAAATAGTGTGTGCCACGTGTACTCATCTAGAGAACCTGTGGCATCAGCATCCGAAGTAGCTGGTATCAAACTAAGGACTAGAGCCGAAGGTGCTGGATCGCTACTTACAGTCGTTTCTTGTTGTGAGGTTAGAAAGTCATACTAGAATATGAAGGGACCATCCAGAGAGGCATCGCCCATTCGTCATCTTTGCCTACAGCTCGAGGGATTTCAGCCCAGATACAATTAAGGATGAGTTCTACTTAAAGCTGAGTGATTTTCTGAAGTATTCGCACTGAGCAGTGCTAGCTAGGTACTTGAATGCCCAAATCGCTCAAGAGAGGATCGTATAAGCGGTCAGTGAGGATTTCATGGTCACAGATGCAGCTTTACGCAGATCACAATCTATTTCTAGCCACTACCAACTTCTAGTACAACCATCGCCACAGTGCTGCTTGGCACTCTGTCTCTCTCTCTCTTTGTTACTCAAGTCTGGACTGAAACAAATCGCACTATCAGTTACCAATTTCGTGAGTGCATGCAAGACTGCCGCTCACTGTAGAAGACGTGTGGATTTCAATAACGTAATAGTGCGCATCAGGTTCATCTAGTGACTCGGTGGTGACAATAAACATCGTCCTCAACAGGACGATATAAGTAAACTAGTAACACTTGCTACATCTGTCAAGTACAAAATCGAACCAAAATTCCATCATTGTTGAATGAAGCTGTTATCATGCCTGTCTTTAAAGTGGCCCACGTAATGCATGTGACAATCAAAGTGTTAGTTTGTTTCCAGCTGAGTCTGGAATCTGTCTGGATTCAACATAGAACTTGGCACCGAAGTGCAGCAGTTCGAGTTGCCACCTTCCAAATAGCACACAGAGGTAGACAAGAAGATGAGTGAAGAGAATCAATAGAGTTTGACAAGTATAAGAGTGAAACAGAATGGGTAATGGTAGAAAGGAATATGAAAGATTACAGAGACTGAATACATCTGCGCTGGCCATTGACAACGATTTTGAGCCATGTCACCTATTGTCTCCAGCCATTGATTCCTAGAGTCCCGAGGGCCCCAACCCGGGAGTCTGCATCTCCCTACCTGACTCAGTTTAACTGTCAAGGATTTCATGGATTGATGCCATGTTTTTGTTTGGCCACCACTGGCTCTTTTCCAACCTGAACCTATATCAGCTAGCAATGCCCGTCGGGGGAGGCGGTGGTTAGGCATGCGCAGCACGTGACCTAGCCATCTTAGTCTATGTAACTTTATAGCCTCGTCGATTGATTTTCCCTCTTTGCCCAACACTCTACGCCTAACGTCAACATTACTTACCTTATTAAACCACCTAACGTGAGACAGAGATCGCAGACATCTATGATCGAAAGCAGTCAACCTTTTCATGTCTTCAACGCGTATTGGCCATGTTTCAGAGCCATAGAGAAGGACGGAGCGAACTGATGAGCAGTACACACGTCCCTTGGTTGATAACCGGATGTCACGCCTACGCCAGAGATGGTGTAAGTCAGCGAAAGCAGCTCGAGCTTTTCGGATCCGTGCTGAGATTTCATCGCCAATCAGTCCGTTGGTGCTAATACAACTTCCCAAATAGGTGAAGTGGTCAACATGTTCTATCACTTCACTCCCTATCACTAAGTTAGGGGTTGACGTGGTCCAGTCCTGTAGCAGCATCTTACATTTTGTAGGGGCGAATCGCATGCCAAACATACGAAGATTGCTGCTCAAGGTGTTCAGAAGACTCTGCATTTTGTCAGCATCCTCCCCTAACAGGACTATGTCATCTGCATATTCTAAGTCCATAAGATTATTCCCTGGTAACAAGTCGATTCCTAAGTCATTACGTTCAGTTAAGGATACTTCCATCAGCATATCTATGATGAAGTTAAACAGAAATGGGGAAAGTGGACATCCCTGTCGGACACCACTGGTTGTTACCAATTCAGATGACAATTCCCCATAAGCCCTTACACGACTACGTGAGTTTGAATAGAGTGCCTTGATTAGTGCAATGTACTTTCTTGGCACTCCCTTCACAGTCAGACATTGCCATAGTACCTTTCGATCCACGGAGTCGAAGGCCGCCTTCAAGTCAAGAAATATGACAATTGTTGGACGCCGAAAAGTGTGTCTATGTTCTAGAATCTGTCGAAGAGTGAAGATATGATCTATGCACCCTCTACCTGGTCTAAAGCCTGCTTGATTTTCCCTTGTCTGTTCCTCCCGAGTTCTGCTTAGTCTATGCATGATTACTGAGCCTAGGATTTTAGAGACTATGTTCGTTAGGCTGATCCCCCTATGATTATCACACGAGGACTTGTTTCCCTTCTTGAATATCGGTATAATAAGTGACTTACCCCAGTCTGATGGCACTGTCTCTGATTCCCAGACTTTGCCTAGTACCTCAGTTAATCTACAAACTAGTATGTCACCCCCATATTTAAACACCTCCGGAATAATTCCGTCGGGTCCTGCCGCTTTGCCTCGTTTCAAATTACTGATAGCTTTTGTGACCTCACTTACAGACGGCGGACCAGTGTCTATATCCCATTCGGGTGTGTGTGGATGTCGGGGAGGTTCAGTGTGGCTGTAGGCAAGTTAAATTGTCCCTCAAAGTGTTCTTTCCAGCGTTCAAGGCGTCTATCCTGAGAGCTAATTAAGGAGCCATTTTTCTCAGAAATAGTCTCACTTATGATTTGCCTTCTCCCTCCCGTTTCCCTGATGAGTCTAAAGAGTTGCCTATCGCCGATGCTTTTTCCATCTCTTTTGCCTTTGTCAGCCACCACTGTTCACGGTCCTTGCGGAGACTTTTAGTAAGTTTCCTTTTGTGCAGCTTTCGCTCCTCATTGAATTCGGAGCTCGCCGGAATAAGTCTTCTAGCATCTATCAGTTCGGATGAGGCAGTCGAAATCCAGTGGTTTTTACTCACCTTTGGATTTGCCTTATTCACAGCTTTTACAGCTGTATCTATAGCTGACTGAATATTCTTCCAGGCTTCTCCAGGGTGAGCACAGCTGTCGAATTCAGATATGCGTTTAGCTAGTTCTTCCTCAAATAGGGATTTAGTTTCCTGATCGAGCTGGGGACGTGATGGTTTTACCGCCAGCTGTTTCCTACGTCCGTTCAGTCGTAAGCACACACGAGCCCGCACCAGTGCGTGATCGGTATCTGGAATATTGGTTTCTGTTTCACCCCATATAAGAAATTGATTCTCTGAGAGCATGGTGGGTTTTGTTCAGATTGTAGGTGGATTGACCATGATTCCACGCTTCGACAGTTGCTAGGACACCGTCACATGAATATCAGGCCAACAATCGTTGCATTTCTCGGTGTAAGGGCTGCCTCTGACTCATTGAACAGAACTGTTCTTTGGAATTGTCCAATAGACAGAGGTATTCCTGAAAAGTTTGTTAACATGCTGAAAGCACATAAAGGAATATATCAGGTAT